GTTTCTCAAAGGAGAGATTTCAGAAAAAATTTGCTAATTGCATTTGGAATGAGGTCATGCCCTCAGCTTTATGTAGAAGATGCTCTGTGAATTCCTCATTCCACATTATGTTAGACATAACAAATCTAATATTGAGTTTTATGAGAAATTAAGCAGACATAAATACTGAAATTTAGTATCTTATTGTTGAACAATGAGAAATAAATGTCTCGGTCAAGTTAGTTTTTTTCAATTTTTTGGTGTCTACTGGTACACTGAGTAATTATATAGATTTATTTATAAGTATACTATATACATGTTTATTATACAGTAATCAGCATTCTTCACAGGATTTTTTTCTCAAGTAGGTCCAAAATTTCCATTTTCATGATATAGACTGAAATTGGTGAAAATATGCAAATTTTTCTCATTTCCAAGTAGGTGCAAATAAAATTTCAGGTGGGTGCAAGTCTGTTTTTTAAAATCTCAGGAGGGTGCTTGCCTACTTGCTTTAATGCTGTGGATATCACTTGTAATTTTTAGTATAAAAAAGTCTGGATTGTATAGAATTGTGACTTCATTATTAGATTATATTACATTATTTATATCTTATTAAGTTTCAGTTCATGCCTGATCGTGACATGATCGAGACAAACACCGAGATTAATGACAGAACATTTCTATCTATTATATCACAAATCTATCATGCTATCATGAAAAATAACCCAATAATGTTTAATTTTTTTTATAATGTCTCGTATTTATCGAAGGCATGATGAACAATAGTGAAACTCAACGAAAATGATGCGCAAATATTTGGTGCATTGTTAACCTGATGTGTCATTCATTAGGCCTTATTAACCATCATTGCTAGAACTCACATGTTATATATTCTTTGAAAAATATATTACTGGGTCACATAGATCCCTTGCAAAAGATATATTTTGGTCACATGAATCCATTGTGTAATATATCCATTTTTCATTTATCTTTAGATTCAACTAGAATTCTGATTTTCCAGATAAGCATAATTGACTTAATGTTTCTTTATATCCATCTATTTTTTTCTTTTTTCTTATAATTTTGCTTGAAAATATGTAACCAGGAGCTAGTTACATTTATTTATATGAGGTATTTCAAAGTGCCCTTAGATGTGAGAATCTCTGGTATATTTTCCAATGGCAAATATATCACCTAACAAAGCCAGAGGGCATTGTAATATTGAGCTCCTAATAATAATAGTACCATTAATCACAGTTAGAACATTTAAGCAGAAATATAAGCAACTAGGCACCCGCAGGATGAAAACCAAATTCCAGTGACCATTGCCAATGTTTATAAAGAGATCAAGCAAATAATCACCATGGTGATCCCTCTAAAAATGAGCTAAAATTCAATAATTCACTTAAACCCAATGTTTGTCAATTACCGTTCTGAGACTGTGATTGGCACTGAGCCAGATCGGGAACTCGTTCTATTTCCTTTGTTACAACGGAAATCCTGCGATAATTTCTGAGCCAGCATTAAACTTTGTTCTATCATACTTCTCAGGAAATCAGGCAAGAATTTGATTTGAAGAGAGCATGTTTATTACAGTTTCATTATTAACCCTAAGCTCCCATGTCCCTGAATTTATTATCCCATAACACAGATTATGATATCCCATGCACCTGATTTGAAGTCCCTGTGGATGATTTCAGTGCCCCATGTTCCTTGATTTTATCATCACATGCCCCTGATTTAAAGTTATGTACCTCTGATTTAAATGTCCCATGTAGAGTTTTATCATCCCATACCCCTGATTTTAAAGTTCATATATCTGATTTTATTATCCCATTCCTTGGATTATGATGTCTCATGCCTCGGATTATGATGTGCCATGCCTTTAATTTTAATATCCCATGCCCTTGACTTTAATGCCCCATACCTCTGATTAATACAGTAAAGCTACCTTGGGGTCCCATGCCCTTGACTTTAATGCCCCATACCTCTGAATAATGCAGTAAAGCTACCTTGAGGTCCCATGCCCTTACAATGATAGTATTATTGATAATTTTATTGGACACTAAATGTTGTCGAGTAGGATGTTTCCAGGAAACTTTTAGCCATAAAATACCTCTCATGTAATTATTAATTCATGTATTCAGGTATCATATTTTTGTTTGTTATGTGTATGATCCACATTCTTATATTACAAAATAATACTGAATACAACACAACACAAAATGCCAAATATTTGCTGAGAGTTAAAAGCAAAGTGATTCCAATTGAATTTACACATAACATCATCACCTGAATATTTCAGTGTTATTGAACAATTTATTAGATGTCTTAAATGTTGGTGAATAGTCTGATCCTAAAAAAGGTTTAGTAATTTATATAGTTAAAAAAGTCAATATTTTAATGCCATATTTGGCAAGTAGAGTTCCAAATATCTGATCCAAGATCTTCAAGTTTCCACAGTTTCCACATATTGTCAGGATAATTCTCCAAAGGGTTACAGTGATCTTCCCATGATTTTTTCTAAGGTGGGTACAAAATTCTCATTTTCATAATTCAGATCAAAATATGCCAGTTTATCATGGTTTTCTCATTTTCAAGTGGGTGCAAACGGATTTTCAGGTGGTTGCCAACCTATTTTCAAAATCTCAGCTGTGCCCCCTTGCTTTAATGCTGGGGAGATCAATGGGGTTCATGTTATTCAAAAATGACTTTATTTCAAAAGTCCAATAATCCTTAATGATTCTTTATAAGAATTCTGAAGGGGAAATCTGATTTTCCATAATTAAGGAAACCTTTTGGCATCCATTAAGTTGATAGCAGTACTTTCAAGTAGCTATAGAAATCGGATCCCTTTGTTCAAAATATCTCTGACAACAAACCAACTATGGATATTGATTCAGGTTTTTTAAGCCATCATTAGGTTTGTTTTATGCACTATGGCCGGTTAAGCGGAACTCAAGTGGAATACTTTGTGGAACTCGATTATATTACTGATTATGTTAATTAATGGTATCAGTTTTGAAGAGTGGGGTATAAGGTGATATTTGTAACAAATGGCAAGTGATGACATTTTGCATGTTAATGCCTTGCTCCTTTACCTTCTTATTTTCTCAATTATTTAGGGGGGTGTATTGTGCAATCTTTCAAAAGTGTGTAAATTAATGTGGAATCAGGTTTCTCCTTGACTTGTTCTACATATGCTCAGGCTACAACAATTACTCTGGTTTTATTACACTCCAGTCAATCTAATTATTCTGATAACATTATTATAACCCATTTATTAACATAAAATATAGTGATTAGAGTTTGAAACATAATTAAATTCTATTATCTGTAATTTTTATTGTTATCTTGTGAATCAGCACTTTTTATCTGATATTATAAAAAATTGTAAATCAAAAAAAAAAACCTGTAATTTATATAAATGCAAAATGCAAACCCTTAATTTGTAATTGCAAATCAACAAACCCTTCATTTATATAAGTTCAAAAATGCTCTTGTCAAAATAGGCTGTCAAAATCATTCTAATATCATGTTGTAGTTTCTGATATCATTTTGTAGTGTTAAAAACATGAATACATGTTGGTAAACTCTTTTGTTAATTGTTCATTTGAAGTAGCTCTGTCAAACTCAGAAGATAACACACAGAAACTAACAGCTTGAAGGGGATGAAGGCGATATATATGTCAAAATCATAAAAAACAAAACTTCACATTTCGGTAAAAAACAGCCATTTAATTTATCTTTGTAGTAGGCTTGAATCAAAGTAATTTGAATATCAATAAATCTCAACTAATTTTGAATAAGTTGAAAAGTGATATTTTAGTAGCCTCGACTTAAGCCATGTTTAGAAATGAATCATGTTCAAAGATTTTAATAAATTGTGAGGACTTATCATATTTGACATGTTCATTGACATCAATGACTTTTCAAAAAATCGCACCTGATGTTTGAGTACTTTATTCTACACTCGAATCCTAAAAGTTCTAGGGTATTAGGGTATTAGGGTCTCAACCAGTGTTAGATAGATTACATTATGATATTATGGCAATATGATGTGTTTAGATTGGTCTTAATGTCAGTTAATTTCAGGTTTCTATTGTTGATATGTTGGAATTATGACAGTTGACAGTTAACTTTTAAATGTTGTACTTGGAGGGCTGATCTCTAAGATCAGATTTCTTTTCAAATTATGGATTGGTTTTTAGTGATATCTATGTTCGGTGAACTCGAAGGTTATAGATTTGGATCTAATGTCTGGAACAACCCTATCTTTTTCACTTCCTGCTAGTGGAGAAGAGGTATAATAGGGGGGGGGGGGAGGGTCGAAGCAAGACTAGAATGGTTGGATTTGTTTTTTGGATTGTCTTTGTTTGGGGGAGGGGCTAGTTAAAGGGGAGGGAGGGAGAGAGCATACATTTTTGCCTGTTTAAAACCTCCCTCTTTGTATCTGAGCCTTAGATTTCTCTTGTAAAGTTTTTTAAAAGCATCTTGTTGAATAATACAATGCTTTAGTCCAGTTTTTATTTCAGATTTGATGACAAATGATTCAGAAGAATGGCAGGTCAAGTGTGTAATATATCATCACCTATGTTGTAAAAACATTGCATTAAATTCAATAGGGCATCTACATGGTGCTGAAGTAGCTTTCAGAAATACCAAAACATCAAACAATTCCTTTTTTTGTCAGCAATTAACCAAATATGACATTTCGCAATTATCAAGATGGAGATATCAATGGATGCATAGAGCTGGCTTTCTGTGGTTTATGTTCATTTATGCCCCTGTGGCGTGTGTAATATCAGGTATAATAGGCTATTTTACATGTATTGCAATTACCAGCAAACTGCCTATTGTGTTATGTTATTATACGACTCTGTGTAAACCGCTTGCGGGGTCGCGTTTAATCTGCCTAAGTTTACCCTTAAGACTACATTCGGCATGAATATGTTACCCAGAATGCCTCAGCACATCAATAACACCAAACTAAATTTCCGTGTTTTTTCTTGTATTTGCAGTTAATAAAGTGTGAGGGAGGTATTACAGTGAATACGGTGAGTACAGAAATTATGGAAAAGAGCGTGAATATACCAATTCTAAAATATCTCTATGGTCATGATTATTTGGCTTGAATTCTCAAAATGTAAAATATTTCAATGATATTTTTTTGCATATACATGTATGCATAATTTGAAACATTGACAATATGGCGGTCTATTTTTTGCTTGCTGGTTCTATTGTTTTGTATTATATATAATGACCCTATTGATATTTCATTACTGGTCTATATTAGGCTTTATTTTCTGCAACATTATCACCAATTTATTTTATTAAATATTCATCAGGTTTATGAGCCTTTAATATAATTATGTCCAACCTGAACAAATTATACCTTTATGGTCACGAAAATAAAAATTTCAATAGAAATACATACAAAGCACGGCTCCTGTTTAGAGCATCAACTTGTTTATGCGACTTTGAATTTAATTTGCTGAACAAGTTTTTATAGTTTTTTTTGATGTGGCCATTTTGGAATATTTGTAAGGGTTCAATAGCAGCTTCTGTCAACGAGTAGTGCGATCAGTCTAGAGTTAGTAGTTGGCACGATAACAACAAACAAACGCCTGGCCTGATCGGAGAAATTAATATTGGATGAAATAATGTACGTAGTGGTTCATTTTGGGTGAAACATACCTACACAGAATTTTATATAGGAATTGCAGGTTAAGTTGAGTTTACAATCAATTTGCAAACTTTGGATATTGCACAAACAGCTTGTGTTGGAGATCTAAAGGAAACCAGTGGGTTGTTGGATTTTGGTCATCAATCTATTGTAAGCTGACATTTGCATTTTCAACCAATGAACTTGCTAATGCCAGAACTTCAGCATTGAGCTATCAATTTTATTACATGAACTGTGGATGTAACATTACGTGAGATATGTGAAATTACATACTTTGCCTGTGTAGTATCATCAATTTAGCCAGGATACATAACTGTTCGTATCTCCGAACAATTTATTGAACATTTAACCAGTCGGACATACACTATAGATCATGGATTATAGTTGCAGACTGATCACGTTTGGAATTTAGATTAACTCTCATTGTTGAAGTTGGTAAGTTTAGATATTTCTATATGTTGAAAACTGATGTTTTGGGGAATAAGCCCAAGTAGACATGCTTGAAGAGTACATTGTAATGACATGAAAATCTGACGGCTTTTAGTCAAAATTTTGAGATGTTTAGTGTGACAGGGCACTAAATTATAGTGAGAAAAAGGTTTTTTTTGGGGTATAAACTATTCGTAACTTTTTATATGATTATCACATGCAGTGTTCTGTCTTGCCTTGTTTTGGTATTGCTAAAATTTCATGTGGTTTTATTGGTATTTTGTTGACTGAAACGGGAGCACCATTGCTGTGGTTCATATCTCTAGTTTCAGTACATTCTTCTCTGCTGACCCTAGGTTCATATTCTCAAAGATCTTGGGTAGTTTGAAAATTTAAAAATTAATACCTATCATTAACTTTCTCCAACTAGTTTCTGACAAAATTATAAATTGATCACTTTGAAGTCACAACATTTAATTATTGCAACAAAGCCATACTATCATAAAGTGAAGAATTCTCTGGGAATTTGAATATCTGCAGAGAAGGAAGAAAGCATGCACTGCTCATGTTTGGAGATTGCTTATATGTGGATGTGAATGTGATGATGTAGTGTTGAAAGCTTGGCTGTGTGTGGTACAGGATATATTTCATGATACATCACCCCTTGCAAACACAACCATATATTCTACTGGTACTGTACATCACACTTGAGAATGCTGACACAAATCAAATGCATAAACTCATCTTAAGATTGCTAATGATAAAAATATAAAAAGAGCGTGTTGGTATATTAGAGGTACATTGAGAGCTACTGACAGGTTACACTGTGTAGATGTGATAAAATCTACCTGAATCTCTTTAGAAACTATATTCAAAGGATGTCTGTGTCACATAAAAATGTATTTTATTCATCCATTGAGATATTCTTGTATGCTGTAGATTCATGTCATTTTCATCAAGCAATATTAAGGTGGGCATAGGCAGACAAGACTGAATATTAAGGCCCATGTCATTCACAATACTTTGTCTACCACAAAATTAAGATATTCTTGTATGCTGTAGATGCATGCCATTTTCATCAAGGAATATTAAGTTGGGCATAGGCAGACAAGACTGAATATCAAGGTCCATGTCATTCATAATACTCTGCCCATCACAAAATTGAGGTATTCTTGTATGCTGTAGACGCATGTTATTGTCACTACCTATTAAGGTAGATGGAGTGTTTATAGAAGCAGGAGTGTTGGAGATAAGATCCATGTTAATGAGTTAGATTATTGGTTATATTCTGCCTACCTTAACAGAATACTCCCCACATGACATTAAGGTAGACAATGTGTTCATAGTGTGAGAATACATTGCATTAGCTCCATGTCAGTTAGTTAGTATATTGACCATATTATGCCCACCTTAACTTGGTACTCATGAGATATATCATGCAAGATCATTTCAAAGTGATGTCTGTCAAGCTTTTCAGTTCTTAGACATCAGTCTTTCTATTCAATGTTCTATAACATTCTAACCTGCGTCATTTCGTATGACCTTGAAGATGTATATGGGATGGTTTGATCATCATTGGTCCCTGATGTAATGTTTTATGCATGAGCATGTTCAATATTATCTTCATACCCCCATCTCACTCCTAATGGCTCAACCTAGGATTAATAGTCTCAAAGCAGGTGTTATTTCCTCATAGATCACCCTTATACATATTCAGGGCCAGGTTAACAACTGTGAGTAGAGGAACATGGATTAGAATGAGGTTGCAGAAGTTATTGCAAATCACGAACTGGGAAATCATAACATATAGCAAACTCACCAGCCGTAATTATTAAGAGAATTGAATAAAACACTGTTGAAATGTGATCACATGGAATTGGAGTGAGCGTAATGAACGCTCAAATAAATCAATTCGGACAAAACGGATATCGATGTGTGGAGTTAAACCTGTCTAATAATGCCCTATAACTGTGTTATTTTAAACAAGATTGATTGCAGTAGATAAAACAATATTGGTGCTGCAGTATGGATCCCAGCTTAACATTTATCTTTCTCAACCCTAGAGCTCAGTTCATGTTGTTGCACATGTGATATTATCAGTCAATTTGAACAAAAACACAAAACACACACTGGTTCTTGAATAGTATTCAAATAGGTGCCTGGTTTCTTGCATTTCTATATAATTTAGAATGTCTATTTCATGTCTGTCTTCTCTATTCATCTAACATACAATTTGCAGTCTAAGACATAACCATTTTGGCGATGACATCCTGATAACTGCCAAGTTCTCATCGTATCATTCTGACTAAAATAGCAATTATTTCCAATACTAAACTGGGTAGGCCTAAACATTGATTTTGAAATGGGTTCAATGTTCTCGTATATTAAAATCTGTGATGAGGTGCAAATTTCTGTTACTTTAACAGGATGAAACACTGTAATGTTATTTTCAGATTTGTTTTGCAGTATATTGTAACAATCTCCATCAGCATTTATATTGTCATTGATGGATTTATCCTATGGCAAGATATCATGGTGAAAAACTGCTGGGTTTCCAATAATTTAAGCCCATAGAATACAATGTCCTTCATGGATTATCTCACTAGAGTCTATAGGCAGTTTCTGAACATTTCCAGTGTGTGTTTGTTTTACTAATTATCTTAAGATAATTTCAATGAACTGTCTGATTTTGGGGTATTTCTATGTAATATAAAGTATCTACTTCATCTTGCATTCTTAATTCTTGCGAATTACCTCTTATTTTCACAATGAATTGATTAGACAACTGTGACCCCCATGTACAAGACAACCATGACCCCCATGTACAAGATAACCATGACCCCCATGTATATTTCTGTGTGTGATGTTCAATGTATGGATTACTAACCCATCAAAGAGAAACTGAGTATAGATCAAAGACAATTCTATAGATTTATAGCAAAACCTTCAAATATAATTTCATGATATCCCTTCATTTACATGCCTGATAAAATAAAATAGAGAGAAATTGTAGAGGAAAAATTACGTAATTTTGTAGTATATAGCCTTAATTATACAAAAACACCAAAATATTAACAACTTCATCCATTATTTTTAGAGAAATTTTTTTGGAAATTAGCAGACGGAGGTTCAAATCTTTTGGTCTGTGTCTGAGTAATCATTAGATGTTGATAGGTAGAGAAGGGAAAACATGTCAGGGTTTAAACACAGTAAAGCAAACGTTCAATACTTCATAGATCTTAGTAGTCATCTTCCTTTGCTTTGTTTTAACATAATACTTTGCACACTGCTGACAATTTAAGCAAACTCTCGACTTGTTTTCTTTTCCTGATGACTTCTAAGTAAAATACTAGCGAATCACCGACCTGATTTTCTGCCTATTTTTCTCATCAATTTCCAATATTAGATTTGCGTAGATCGTAAAAATAAAGATTGGGAAAACATTGAATCCCCGACCTTATTTTCTAACCAACTCTCATCTGTATGTCAAAAAACCATTGCCCCCCCCTCTATTGTATATTCCAGTGCTGAAGGTATATATGTTAGAGGAGGGGCTATAAAAGGACTTCTGCAAGACTTATCCACCCAACCTCTTCAGGGTATGGCATATGTACCATCCCAGAGATATTTCTAGGTCCTTAGATTTCCTTCAGTTTCACTCTTTTTCCTCTCTTTCTAGACAGAAAAATCATGAACATATCTCTGAAGGTTTGTATACATGACAACACCCCTAGGGTCAGAGCTTGGTTAAAACTATTAAAAGGGGTAGATAAAAGGGTAGATACATGATAGGCCCTTTGGAGAATTCACATGATTTCTACTTTCAAGCATCTTGGATGGAGAGCTCTTAAGAGTCCACTTCAAAAAGAAACATTTCAAACTTTGAATATCATCATCTTACAGTCTCCTGTTTTGTTATTTTAACTTTATTTTACTTGTTTT